AGAACAGATGCGACTGCAGCGGCAGCTGAAGCTGTAACAGGCAGAGACCTGCTCCCTTTACTCTTTCATCTACGGCGCTTAAACAGCCCTCGGGGGAGCTGTTACAGCCTGAGGAAAAACTGACAAGAACAAATCCGTCTGGGATTCATGTGTCGCTGCATTTCAGTTCCCCTGGCCAGGAAGGACGGCTGTGACAGCATCTCGCCACGGATCAGATCCGGCGGCATCGTCCTCCTCACCCGCGGAGACTTTCCCGCTCCGTATCTTACAGGGTCTGGCTTCCCAGTCACTGCTAGCGCTCTTGGGAGGCATGACTGTGTCTGATTATGAGGCTGCTGTTTCTAAAGCACTGTAGACCCAACCTATTAACCTCAAACGGATTCTGTTACACCGTTACTGCTCATTGGTGTCATACATCTCCACGTTTCATCTCCGAGGACACGCTTTGAGCAGGCCGAGGAAAAACAAGGTGGAGAAGCTCAGGTGAATCTGAAGAATGTCAGGAATTCCCCGCCCCAGTCTCCCACACCCTCACCTCCACCCCCAGCAACGCGGGCTGTGGCATCTGGATAGGTCGTGATTTTCAGCTGGTAAATCTGATAGGAGAGCCGTAATGTACAGGAGTAGCGAGGTGATAGATCTCCTGCTTAAAACCTGCAGGGGCCAAATCCCAAGCTAGATCCTGACACCAACTGTACCACTGAATGGGCCCAAATCCATCTGTCTGTACAAACACAACAGAAGCACAGCAGGTCTGTTAGCTTTAGCGTGTTAGCGACAGTTGCCATCTCGACAGATTTCTATTCACAGAGTCAGATGAGCCAAGTAGGGAAATGTATTATTATCAATTTCCCTCCGAAAAAAATCACATAACTGAGAAAAACACTCTTTCAATATACTGAAATAATGAAAAACTGCAGGACAGCCATTTTTGCCGACCTCGTCTGAAGAGGAGATGTTGTTCCTATTCGGTACTGCAAGTGTGGTCATAAAGTAGGAGATCATGATGGCTGTTAAGGTGAAGACTGCTATGACTGTGCTACTGAGACGAGTCCTTCTGGCTTGAAGGATCAGGGGACCTTTGAGCCACTTCCAACCCCTCGGTGGCCTTTGGGAGTGTCACCCATCTCACTGTCAGCCCCAGGACACACGCAGCCACGGAGTCGGCCTGGCAGCCCCACTGTCAGCCTCACTGTCAGCCCCACTGGCAGCCCCACTGGCAGCCCCACTGGCAGCCCCACTGTCTGCCCCACTGGCAGCCCCACTGGCAGCCTCACTGTCAGCCTCACTGTCAGCCCCACTGTCAGCCCCACTGGCAGCCCCACTGTCAGCCCCACTGGCAGCCCCACTGGCAGCCCCACTGGCAGCCTCACTGTCTGCCCCACTGGCAGCCCCACTGGCAGCCCCACTGTCAGCCCCACTGTCAGCCCCAGTTCCTCCAGCCCCGTCCGAGGAGAAAAACCAGCTGCCTGAAACGGAATCCAAACCCCCCCCAAACCCTTCTCACTGCTCTGCCCTTAACGAAGCAGGGAGACACTTCTCTGGTAAACAGCCAGCTCCCTTAACCTTCTCTCCACACTGTCATTCCAGCGGTCAATAGATTGGAAACAAATGGGTAAAGCCTGCTGATCATGCACACAAATTAATATTGATTAAAGCTCTCAGTCTGCCTCAGAGGTGGAAAAAGAGCCATTTTTTCCCCCTTGTGCTATCAGTTACTGATCTAGGAGGAGAGTTACTGTTGTCCTCCATATTCTGTGAGAATGCCCCTTAACTTTTCCCACAATGCACTTGTCTGCTCCCACATGAAATGAATCCAAAGCAGGACTGAACAAGAAAGAGTGCATCAGGTAGCCAGTAAAGGCTAGAATAGGACCGAGATGGGAGAGGGGTGGGGGGGCATAAAGGAAACAGCCACAAATGGCCAAATGGGGTTAAAGGTTCTGCTGGAGCAGACAGGAGCAGCCGGCCGGCCCACGGCTGCACGGTGCCGGTTTAGTGTCACACATCAGAGTCGAGCAGAGAAAGACTGGTGCCTTTCCTCGGGGAAGCAGAGGGGGCGCTGATGCCGTGAGCATCAAGGCAGAAGGTAGCGCTATTTTTAGTCACAATGACACATCCTGGAGAATGCTGGGTATTTCAGGAAATGCCACAGTTGTATCCTGCTCTTCTGGCCACAATGTATCAACAATGGAAGAACATTCATAAATTCCCCCAGATGCCGCTTATCCAAGCAGTCAACAAAATTACAGACAGCCTAGAAATTTCCTAAAAATATGACCACTTTGCCCAGATAATTTAGCTGCTGCTTTAATCCAACAGAACTTCCATAACAATCAATTTTTTCTTCTGTATTTGTTTTTGTACAACAGTTCTGTCACAACTCTAGACGCACATACAGTTTTAATATCTGACAGAAAAAATTAAAAACAACAGCAATAAAAAAACCAAAGGTGTGGATCTGCATCATGTGCTGAAGCTCCATTCTCTTTCCCACAGTTCCCAGTTATGGCTATGCAAACCAGTTAGGGCCAGACAGGGTGGCCTGGTATAACCTCACCATACTACAGAATAGACTCCCTCATATGTAGTTAAACCCCCCCATGTTCTCTTTGGTGGGCCAGCTGTCATGATATCGCCACAGGTAAAGATGACCCCCCCCCCGCAAAAAATTGCTGTGATAATTGTCAAACCCATCTGGATAATAGATGCTCAGCTGTTTCTTTTCGTCTCCAAAACCTCAAACCCCAAACATATTCAACCATGTTGGGAACTGAAGTGGAGAAAGGCCATCTAGTGGTCATAAAAATTACATGCGACGGTAACTGGATTTATCCTAAAAAAAGCCATTGCTGTTTCGTAAATACACCAATGGTGCTATAATAAAGCTCTCAAGCAGGAAAAATGTGTAACATAAATATTACGTCAACCACTGTAAAACAGGGCAAACAAGCACCTAGAACAATTACACATTTGTTTAATGAACAGGACAGAACCCACTCCTATTCCATAATCACCTCAAACATAATGTGAAGATATTCATGGGCCTGCAGCTTCTCTGCTTCTAGAACCTTCTGCTGCTTCGTGTCTATGCACAGCGGCTCAGATTCCAGACTATCCCGGACACCTGATCATCAATATCCGCCATTCTATCTGCAAGCGATGCGAACGGGGGCAAGTTTGGGCAGAGCTCTCTGTCCACAAGGGCTGAGGCTATCTGTCTCACTCAGGACAGACTCAGGAACATACCGGAACTCTTAAAAACCTAGCCTACGTCCAATTTATGTCTTAATAGGCAGTCATTTCTTTTATCCCAAGACTAAATTACATCTGACACACAGACATACGCATTTCCCCCATAATTCAAAGCTTAAAGATTTTAAAAATATCAACAAGTCCATTTACAACTTAAAGCCCTTGCAGCAAAAACTCTGCTGCTGAGCCGCTGACAAGTATACAAATACGAAGTCATACTACAAAAAACAAAAATATTGCAACGTCCTCTATCCAGATGAGTGCCTCTGAGTGTTACTGTCCACCAGAGGGCGCCAGAAGAAAGCACAAGAGTCATGTGATAGTCTGGGGCCTTTTCCAGCCTTCATCTTACACGTCACAGCCAAGCATCATAGTTAGGCTGATGGATGCTGTAGCCCCACTGTGTAAAGCAGCAGAAATTAATTATAGGATCCCTTGGGCCATCAATGGAGGAGCAGCAGGGTTGGGGGGGGGGGGCGGCACGTGTGTAGAGGTGTGCTCCAGTTCTGCTCAGAATCCAGATGGCTGCAGAGACCTGTACTGAGAAGCAGAGAGGAGGTACCATGCTGGTGGACAGCCCAAGAGCACAGAGTACATGTCAGGCTCTCTACACCGGCCCAAGTGGACCGTAAGTCTTCTCCAGCTCTTTGTAAATCACAGAAAGACCTGAGATCTACAAGGGGAAGCTTAACCGGTTCAATTATCATACTAGGCGGCTCAAAAGCGACATGAAGTAGCCACAGCGAGCTGAAAGCCAGGATGCGGTTCGGCCTGACAACCGCTGGGATCATATTAGAGATCAGCATCTCGTTTTGGTGCCGAGGCTTCAGCGCTGATCCGAATGAGCCGGCCGGGAGACAGGGAGACATTGTGGCCACTTCTCAGAAGCACAGTTAGCATTCCAACATGCAAATAGTGCACTGCTGCGTGGTGCAGAGAAGAGGATTGTTAGTGCATCAGCCCACTTACTCCAACACTACATCACTGCGCATTACAGCACGACGT